CTATCTATCTATCTATCTATCTATCTATCTATCTATCTATCTATCTATCTATCTATCTATCTATCTATCTATCTATCTACCTACCTACCTACCTACCCATTGGCTTTGCTTTAGTAGTTAAAAATGACAGTTATATGAATTTCTTGGAATTTAATTTCATTTTAAATCTGTTTGTTACCTTCAAATTCTGCATTCTGTTTACTATCTCAATTTAAATTCTAGAATTCAACTGGAATTTAACCCTGTAAAGCCTGACATATGAAATATTAGTCAGAAAACATCCTGTTAGGATTATATCTACATTCTATGAGATGCAAATAAATCGTTTGTGAGGCTCAGAAAAAAGCTTCATAGTCAAATGATCTTCTGCTGTCATCTTGACCGACATTGTAGCCAGCTGTCTGTCTGTCCATGTCTGTGAACACTAAAATGAACATCTGTGTGTCTTTGTGGGATTTATTTGATATATTATTCATCTAAATGTGCATATCGCAGCCTGGAACTGCTAGTTAACATGTACTGGACAGAATGTGTGTGGGTGGTCGGTCTAATGAATGAAACTGACCTGTCGAACGTGTGATTAATGCCGGTTTCAATCCACATGGACGTGCATGTGAGCCGTAAGCTAGTCTCTCAGTGGGCGTGTCACCTGTCAACGGTGCGTCAGGTGTGTGATTGTGATGTCATCGCACCCTGTCTGCTTCCCTACAGTGTGATGTACAGGTCCAGATGGCTTTGTGTTTCCATGGCTGAATCTACACGCCCAATTTCTTGCCCGGCTGCTGGCAACCAATAGCTCCACTGCAGTGACTTGTGCTGAATAACAATGTGGCTCGTTCTGTCTCGCTTTACGCCCCTCTCTTTATTTCTGCCGTGCCGGTGGGTTATGAGGTGCAGAGGAAGTGCTGAGTGGGGAAAAGCGCAGACCGAAAGATCTGCAGACAAGCTATGACCACAATTATATGCAGAGTAGGAGAAATTCTATATCATGGTAATGGTATAAATCACAACGTGGTTATTTTTTGCTAAGTATTCAATGGGAAAAATTATTAACATACACAATATAAATACAGAAAATAATATGATACATTAATTGTTTTTTTTTTCTTTTCATAAAATATCTATATTTATAGATTTTTTAAATCTCTTTTTAGTTTAAACTTAATGGATACAAACCAATAGATTGGATTAATTAATTGTTTAATTGTAAAACTTGTTTAAAATTGTTTACAAGCTTACACATCCCCTGTAATCACTGTGCCTAATATAAAATAATAAAATAATAGTAAAAATACAATTATTAATAAATAAATTAAACTTAAAAAAAGTTTTTTCTTATAAAACATTTTTCAAATTCCATGACAATTACACATTTCCAAAAAAGTTTATTTTTTAATTTATTTTATATATATATATATATATATATAGCTGAAAATTAAAATGATAATTTTGTAATATATATGTAATAATATATAAATATGTAAAATAATGATAACATTTTTTACAATTAAATTTTTTTTGATTTTTTAAATCTCTTTGATGGACTGCAACCAATATATTGGATTATTCATAATAACTGCCTCAAAGCAGCCGAACAAATGTTGCATACATATACATACATAAATATACAGTAAAAATATAATAATATATAAAAAAATAATAGCATAAATTATCGTATACAACCATTGTGTATGTGGGTGGGACAAGACCCACCCACTTTTTAAGACCAATGATATTGGACCCACTCACTTTTACGGTCTCTAATTCAGCACAAATGTCTGTTCACTTTTCAGAGCACCGTCAGTCAAATCCATTCCACTTGAGGAATGCCCTAATAAATTAAACTCCATTCCGTGTTTTAGCTGGAACTCAAATCTTTAGAATTTTGAGTAAAATATGAAAAAGACATGTTTTCGACATCATTCATAAGATTCATGAAATCAAAGACCCTCCCCTTGATAAATCGTAAGGGGTCACTGGATCGATTTGAGATGCATGTGAATGTCAGGCGTAAAAGACGATGTGCTCGGCTGACCATTTGTGACCAGATCACTTGAATATATACAATAAGGACAGAGATAGCAAGTGTACACTACACGGACACACTAGAGGTTTAGTGTCTGAGTTCAGCTGCGCTATTCAAGTTATGCTGGTCCGTTTCCAGGCGGAGGGACTCTTGAGTTGATTTCAAAGTACTAAGGATCAATTGAAAATAAATGACGGTAAATGATGATCCCCACCGTCCTGTAATCATATCGTGAAATGATTAAATAAAAATGCCCTCTCCTGTTACGCGTTTCATCACGACCGCTTGAAATGAATGCAGCTAATATCATCGATAATGAAAGTTATAAATAGTATGTTAATGATAACCATGATTATTAATATTGCAGCAGGAATGACAAAGGTAATGATTGCACATGTTGACAATTATCATCCTGGTTGTGGCTGTAATTATTTATAATGAAATCTGAGCTGTAAATCAGCAAGACTATGTTCATAATTGCATGCTACTCCTACTATCTTTCCAATATACTGTGTACAGTATGCACATTTTATGCATGAGATACCCGTACAACATTGGTCAAAATGTATACATGCACAAAATTACATGCAAAATTTCTGTTATGCAGGATGTCCAAACACAATCAAGTGATGTATGTGGAAGTGATGTATTTCATGAAAACCTGGCCACATAAAAAAAAAAAATGCATAAAGAAAACAAAGCATATTAAGTGATGTGGCCAAACCTCATGAAAACCTTTCACCACAAAATCAAAAGGAAATAAATAAGAGGTTAAATTTTACATAAATAAAATATAAAAAAACAAATATTTTGCATAAAAATAGAAAATCTCTGGTCACAATTCATCTGAAAAATATTAATAAAATAATATTAAATAATAAATATATAAATACAAGAAAGAAAAATAATATATATATGGGAATTCAATTGCAGTAAAAAAAATGTAAAAATGTTTGTAATATAATGATTTTTATCAACATAAATTAAGGGATACAACCAAAATCTATACATTTAAGTTTAAATATTATATAATGTAAAATAACAATATAATTATTATTTCCTTTACATTATGGTATAGTTTTGGCATTATAGTAATGAGGCTTTACAGTAAACACATTAAAAATGTGGTTAATTGTGATGAATATCATCAATTTTTCTGTCTCATGTTTATGACAATTACCCAAATTTCCACCAAAATAAAAGTTCAGAACACATTAAGCTGTGTAAACAGTTTCCCACAATGCAACATGTTTAACTTGACCTTAATTTACAGTATGACATGAACAAAATGACAGCAGTAATACTCACACTTGAAGTCCTTCCAGGTGACCGTCGGCTCCGGTCTGCCCACCGCCAGGCAAAAAAAATTCACGTCATCGCCTTCATTCACCGATTTATCCTGCGAGATGTTCACTATCCGGGCCGGCACTGCAAAAGAGATGTTTTAATTATGCTTAATAATAACAGAGTGAATATATTACGGCTTAACTGATGTCAAAAATCAGCCTTTAGTTTAGCCAAATACACTTGCTGGAGACGGGTTGTTTGTTTCAGTGGTTATAAATGATTCCAATCAGCTGTTTTGGCCTAAATTTCCAAAGCAGAGGGCAATGCATAATGCCGGACGGATAATGAGCCGCCCCTTGAATCTTAATGGCCTATGATCAGAGCTTTAATGAAGATGGCCACAAATTTGGCCTGCGAGGCATTCTCAAGCAGTCCATTTTTCAGGTTTCTAACAGGGCGAAATACTTCCGACGATAAACTTAAGATTGGAAACTAAAGCAGATCCATTCCTTTTGGAGAAGTGACTGGGGGGTGTAATTATTTTTGCTCATATCGCACTAAGACTAAAATTGAGGGCACAATAATATGGTCATCTGTCTGCAAAGCTCCGTGCGGCAGATAAAAGCCAGTGTTTGGTGAGATGGTTCTGGCCTGCCGGTTGGCCAACAATGTACTTGAGATGCATTTTGAACACGCTTCCCCTCTTTTTCACACTTCTTCGCTGTGGTATTTTCAATCTTGTGCAACAGGAAAGTGCACCATGCACGGCGCCATATACATAACACTTGTCAACTTTCAGCCGGCGGGGTTGGAGTAAAGGGACGGATGCTAGCAATCCATCAGCGGATCGGTCTGCTGCCAATGAATCACGCCAGTCTGGATGGCTGGAGCTCTTACTCATGTTGCTGTTGACATGACAGTCGGCACGGCCCCTGTCCTGCCCCGCACTGCCAGTCAACTAAAGGCCTTCTGGAAGATTACCGAGCAGAACCCCCCCTCTGATCCTGATCACATCCGTGTCAGCCCCTCTTATTTCTTTGGGACTGGCATTAGAGGAATTGTTCGTTTAGATACTGTGCAATTGCTTCTTATGAGCTCCATGGCAGAAAGAAGAACATCATGGCACATGTTGACAATTATCACCCTGTTGTGAATGTAATTATCTGAGCTGTAAATCACTAAGACTATATTCATAACTAAATGCTACTCCTACTGTTTCTGCAGTATAAAGTACTATGTACAGTATGCACTTTTTATGCATTAAACAACATTGCATTGCACTGTTACGACCAACATTGGTCAAAACATGCAATATACAACCAGAACATGCACTGTTTTAAAAAGAATATTGTTTGATCAAAAAATGTGGAAAATGCCATACATATACATTTTTTTAATGCAGCATGTCCAAACAAAATTAAGTGATATATGGGCAAATCTCATGAAAACCTGGTCACATCTCACTACAAATTCAAAATAAGAAATTATATTTTGAATAAAAAAATCAAAACAGCAATCTCACTGTTGTTGTTGTTCACCAGGGAGACGCGGGAGTCCAGGGACCACTTATCTGTGCCCGTAAATAAGATGTTGGAGCGGTTCAACCATGCCTTGTGAGTGACCTCCTCGTCTATCTTACATCTAAGAAAGAGAAGAGATTGAAAAGAACAAGTTTGTGGCAGATACAATTTACTCGTTTGAGAGCATTTATTCACCTTGACGTGAATAAAAAGAAGGTTGTGAGGGGCAGATATGTGTTAATGTTCACAAATGAACATTAACACATATCTTTCTCCACCCAATTTTCTCCCTCAAAGCCTCGTTTTCATTTGTTTCAAATAAAATATTGCCTCTACAGACTAAGCTCTGTAGCAGATTACTGTGCTGTCATTAAATGAGCGCTAGTACAAAACACTGCATGAAACTTTTTGTGCATTAATAAAATATACAGCATATTAAAAAAACTAAGGATTTTTTTTTAAACAATTACTCATATTTCCACCAAAATAAAACATTGGTCATATTTCACCACAAAATCTAAAGAAGAAAATAAGAAATTATATTTTGCATAAAGCAAAAGCTTTTTTTAATGAAAATGACACATATTTCCATCAAAATAATTTATAATTTTAAACATATTTCCATTTAAAAATAAAATGTCACATTTCACCACAAAATCTCTCTCTCTCTCTCTCTCTCTCTCTCTCTCTCTCTCTCTCTATATATATATATATATAT